GGAGAGTGCGCCCACCCTCTGGAAGACATCCTGCAGTCGTTCCGGTTCCCAAGAAAGAAAACAGGCCGCAGCGAGCTGAGATGGACTCCGACCGGTGGCACTCATTCAGCACCTGATGAAGACGTTCGGAGCGGCTCGTTCTCAAGCCTCTCAGACCCCAAACGGTACAAGCACTGGGCCGCAGGACCGCCGTGGCAGTTCGGTCGTACCAGCCAGCGATGTTGGTGTGGAGGATCTGCCATCCTCTACGCATGCGTACACCGAGTCCACTGCCATCTGAGAATGAAGGAGAGCGCCTTTGAACACCATCTAGCCCCCTCTGTGCTTTCAGGACAAAACTGAACAGGAGTGGTAGTGGACGTCCTATCTGGTGGACTGGATTCAAAGATTACCTCACTGACAGGCCACAGTACGTCCAGGGCTGAAGGACACACGTTTGACACTGTGGTCAGCAGGCACTGGATGGCCCCCCAGGGCACAGTGCTGGCCCCTCTTCTCTTTCAGCCCCTGTACACCGTCGGACTTTCTGTTACCAGACCTCGGAGCTGTGCCGACACTTACAAAGTGTACGCTGATGACACAGCCTCGGTTGGGATGTATCAGGTCAATCAGAGAGAGGAAATATCGGCAGGGTCTGGTGGGGGACTTTGCTGCTCTGGTGTTCACACTTAATGCTACAGGCTCAACCAGCGCCTCTACAGACTTTGAGGAGCTGGTCATTGGACTTTGGGAGGTCCACAGCACAATGACCGCGACCTAGTCTCTGGCGTAGGAGGGAGCGTGAGTGGAGGCTGTATCATCATATAAGTACCTCGGGCTGTGGCTGTGACAATAAACTTGGACTGGGACAACAACACCAAGCCCACCTGTACAGAAGACACAAGGCAGCGTTGTACTTCCTGCGAGGAGATTGACGATCCTTCGAACATCTGCGGCAAGGAGCTGCTGTGGGATGTTTATTGCAGTCGCTGGTGTTACCAGGTGTCTCTTCGGTACACGTTCTGGTGTGTGGCTGGGGGGGCAGCATTATCCAAAGAAGGACACCTCCGAGAGCTGATAAACTGATCAGCACGGAGTGGTCGCATGAAGCTGGATCACCGGGCGGTGCAAAGAGGAGGACAGGCTGGACAAAACACTCTGACATTATTGGACCAATGCCAGCCATTCCCCTGCAGGTTGCACCGTTCATCAGGAACCAGAGAAGCCCTGTTCAGTGAAAGTCTCCTGCCCCCAGAAGAGGACCAGAACAGACTTAAGAAACTCCTTTGTCCCTGCGTGCCATCACACTCTAGTAATCCGTCGCGGCTCGGAGGGGAGGAGGAAATAGTGAGAAAGAAGGAAAGGATGTGGTGCCACGTCACTGTCCACTGTGCAATAACTGTGCGCAATGAATAATCGTATTCAAGCATACCATTGACACTGTTCGTTATTTTTGTTTGTGCAGTAAAAACAATTACTGTTGTGATACGCTGTTTGTATCTTGTACTGTATTTTTTTGATACCTGCTTGTATTTTTCTAGCACTCTGTCGTCTTTTTTGTAAGCTGCCTGTAAATTCCAATTTCCTTGCGGGGAGTCAGTCCCCAGAAGACAGGATCAACTAAAGGGGAAGTCTAAGTCTAAGTCTCCAGGTGATTACTTTTGGTTTTGAGCTTATATTTTATACACCAACTGCACCAGGTCACATTCCTCGTAGGCGTAAAAACCTACTTGGCAATAAACAAAATTCTGATTCTGATTCTGATAAATAATGTCTAAAATATAAAAGCAATGTTACAGGCACCCCAGGAACCATAATCAGGTTAGTAATCCGTATAGATACTGAAAGGGGCAGGTATATAACACAAAACTACACTAACACTCTGCACTTCTGTAACAGCAAAAACTGCATTGCATTTTTTTTTGCAAGCTTTCCCAATTACTGGAGAAAGAAATATTGATGGTGGGTTGAGCACACAAACATATGCAAAACAAACACGGAGAGAAAACGTGCTTACTAATCAGAACAATGTATCAAATGCAAATATACCTGTCTGAAAAACCACCTCCTTGCCTCCAACACCTGCAGCCTCCAAGTTAATAAAGGCTCGCACCTGCTTGGCCCAGGGATGCTGAGTAATGAAACCGTGACTGGCCTGGTGGAGAGAAAAAAAAAAGAGATAAAGTAAAAATGTAACAGAGAAAATAAGACAAACACGAAGAAAGGAGACGTTTTAAATTAAATGACAATCCAAAGTGGTGAAGGCAAGCTTGTTCAAACATCCAGTATAAAATATCTGTCCTTGTCACTTAATTTTACCTGCAAGATATTTTCTTCTGCCCCATTAAAGAGGAAGATGACTCCATGAGGAAAAGGAGTAGACTGGTTGGCCAGAGAATGGAGGACTTCCAGCATCACTGCACAGCTCACTGCATCATCACTGGCACCTAGACAAGGGAACCAGTGTATGTGTGTCAAAAATACTAAAAAGCTGCACAGTTTGGGTAATGTGAGCTCCGACTTGCCTTTCACATTTGTATCAGGCCACAGAAGCTTGGCCTGGCATTCACACACAGACATCCAACTGTCATGACGCAGTGGCTCGGTTTTAGGAGTAGGACACATGCAGATGATTTTAACTCTGAAGTACTTCAGGATAACACAAATCCACAAACACATGTGAGTGGAAGGGAGTAGGCTCTGTGCGCAAACATGTGAAGAATGTGGCAATCTGGTAAAAACCCAGCTCCCACTGCCAATATAGTGGCGAGTGCACAAAGGGAAGGGGGTACTAGCGAGAACTAGCTAAGAAAAGACCATGTGAAGAGGGCATGTGACGCGAAAAGATTAGACGTGTTATTGGTGAGAAACTATTTTCTGAGACTAAATGCAAAGAAAGGAGAAAATAAACCCCCCCGCAAAGAATCAGAGGAGCGAACTGAGACATTCATGTGCTCCGGCTTTCCTGGATTGAATGTGTTTCATGAGATACGGTGGGAGCGCTGTTCACTGTCTGTCTGGGTACCATTCATTCTCCTATTGCTGGCACTTGTGTCAGCTACATATTAATCCTTGTCCCCAGAAATCTCTGTGAGAGCTCATAAGATGGCAAGTACAAAACAAAACCTGAATAGTTCACCTGTGCACATAATAACTTATGTGTGGAAAAAAGTATGTTATATATCAAGTAAACACTTTGACTTAATTGAGCAGTTTGCTGTCTGACTGCTTGGCTGTACATCCGTGCAAGACAATGTACTACCTCTTTATTCTTCCTCCTTTTTTCCCCCAGTATTATTTTTTGCATAACAAAAGTGTTTAGAATTCCAAGAAATCAAAGGCTTGGCCTGCTGCGGTGGACATAAAAATGTATGTGTATCTTCCTGGTCCACACCTCTTAGAT